TTTATTAAATATTAGTAAAATTTTGTCTTATGCATAAAAATGAATATAACTAACAGTTCTAATATTATCTTCTCTTACTCAATGGGAGTTTTGGGTACTCTCCTTTGGGGGCCATGGCACGAATATACTTAAAACCCCTAGCCAGCACAACTCAATCAGTCTCTCAAATGCTTTCCAGATTAGGACTGGATTTGAAGCCAGGACTAACTTTCCATGGTCACCCCAGGTCAAATAAGATTCTTAGGTTCTTATGATCTGGGCCTTCATCCAAAAGCTGATCCAAAACCAACCTTGAGGGATGGATGGACAAGTATAATCTTTCCAGGATACTCATCCTAACACACTTTATTATACAAATATAATAAAGAATAGTAATAGGTTCCTCTCTTATACAACATTCATTCACTCATTTAAGAAACATTGGTAAATGCCAGGCATCTTATGGACACAATCATTTACAAGTGTTATCTTAAATACGCTATACCATACTTTCATTTGCAGAAGTGCCCGAAAGAAAAAGTGGTTTGTGCCCCATCGGGTGGCCAAACTGGAAATTTCAAACAAGTTCTAGCAAGACAAGTTAACCCTAACTAATCAACATAATACCTTTGGGAAATTGAAGCCGCAACACAAGTGTTCTCATGGGATAGTTCTATAAATGAAAATCACAATAATGTCAGGGCAATGTTTTCTTACAATTGAAGATAGGGATGTACAGTTTATGCAGAATCTTTCCTTTTCCAAATCCTGCAAAAAAATTAATCAATGACTATCCCTTTTATTTATTTAAGTTAAATAAAAGTTTCAGTGGGTCAGTTTTCCACTCCCAAATTAAAATCTCATCAAAATTTTCTGAAAGAACTTTAATAATAGTCCTAAATTTAAGTTCTATCTTCTTCATATATCAAATATAATTAAGCCATTTAAAAAAATAGAAATTTAAAGCTAGATGGGTCCTCAGAAAATATAGCCCTGCGAGTTTAGAAACCATTAAGACCAGTTCTCTCACCTTACAAAGAACCTAAAACCCAGAAAGAGGAAGTAATTTCATCAGGGTCACACATCTAGGGTGACCTGACTCCCAATGCTTACACATCTATGCTCAAGAGGCTAGCTATCTATATGTGATCCTAGACAGATGACTTAACCTCTCTGGACGTTTGTTTCTTTGTCTGAAAAAAAGAGGAAGTAGATAGTGTTCAAATTCCCCTGAAACTCTAAAATCCTGAAATTTAGATACCTCATTATTTTAGGAACCTATTCAACTCCAGTATACACTGAAAAAACCATTCCTGAGAAACCAAAGCAGCACAGGACCCTAGGGATGAAAACACAAGTCAGCAGCCGAAGGCACCAAATATATTTGCTTCTTTTGCTAATATTCTGTAAAATATTAACATGGTCATACTAGTCTATGTGGTTGAAACTGGTCTGTTAATTTTGATTAATCAATTACAGAGCTCTAAAATTGCAATCACTGATTCTAAATTTTTTTTAAAGTGCTCTTATAAAGATTTATTGATGTTCTATTTTCTATGGCAAGATTTACACTCAAATAGATTACTGGAAACAGGGATGGTCTCTGCTCATTTGTGTTTATTCTCTGTAAAAGCTATTCACAAGTGGATCAAACAGATTTTCTTTATATGGTTTCTTCTTATTGCTCTCTTTTATGCTTTATTATTCTGCCTACGAAGATTGAGTTTATGAACTCCACAATTTATTTCTGAATTAGAAATTCTAATAATTTTTAGGTTATTTATGAGTAATAACACTAATAACAATTTTAACATTCCAAAAAGCAAAAGCCATTAAAAGTTAAATCAAAAACTATGGGGGCGCCTGAGTGGCTCAGTTGATTAAGCGTCTGACTCTTGATCTTGACTCAGGTCATGATCTCACGGTTGTGAGTTCGAGCCCCACACTAGGCTCTGCGCTGGCAGCAGAGAGCCTGCCTGCGATCCTCTCTCTCTCTCTCTCTCTCTCATGCACATGCACCCTCTCTCTCTCAAAATAAATAAACTTTAAAAAAAAAAAAACAACCTATGAACAGGGTGCCTGAGTGGCTCAGTCAGTTGAGGGTCCCATTCTTGATTTTGGCTCAGGTCATGATCCAGCATCAGGCTCCGTGCTAAGAATGGAGATTTTCTAAGCTTAAGATTTTCTCTCTCTCTCCCTGTCCCTCTTCCTCTGCCCCCCTCCCCACTGGCACACTGTCTCTTAAACAAACAAAAACCTATGAATCACAATGGACCTTGAAAAGCTCTCTGGCCCTATATATTCTTATCTTATGGAAAAGGAAAGAGCCCTGGAAAGATAAAAAGATTGTCCCCAGGGTCTCATGGCTAACATATACAATAACTAGCATTTATTGTGTGGCCATGTATACACAATAATACACATAATTATAGACGTAAAACAAAATTTTCAGTTTCTATCTAATGCTCTGCTTATCTCAAATAAAACTTAATGTAGTGAAATGACATAAAAACCAAAGAAGCTCAACAGTTCATCATGGTCCACAGCACTAGAAAGCACCCTAGTCTAGACATCAGGGGTAATACCCTAAAATTTCACCACTAGTGCTTGAAAAACAAATTCACGTGTCTATTGCATGAACAGTGTTTCATGAGCATAATCTTCATATATCAGAAAGTACGTGTTGCTGCATTATAAGAAGATTCTTTTCTCCAGCAACAGCTAACATCTTTTAGGATGTCATTTTTCCCCAAAGTTTTTAAGTTGCCAAAATGCCCAGACTCTGAAAACTCTCATTTATGCCTCTTTAAATATTTTCAAAGGAACAGCACCAGCTCTTGAGAAACAATATAGCAACACAAATCCCAACCCTATAAAGAAATCTTTTTAATGGCTCCAATTCACAAAGAAAAGTGCCCCTTATTTAATTGTGCCTACCAAACAATGAGTTCATCTGGGACAGGAGTTAGGTAGTAGGGACTCTGCAGAATAGAATTTCAATTAGCCACAATAAATGAAAAATTTTTTAACACCTGTAATTGCCCCAGGAAAGATAATGCAGTCACACATGTGCTCAGGAATTCTGTCCCTCTGTAACCAACCTAGAGTAACCCAATTGGGGCTAGTGTCCAAAGGGAGTATATGAATGAGGAGTCCCAGAATTACTGTGGTCACTCCAGCCACAAAGCTGACATTACAAATCAAGAGGTAATTGCATTTTCAAACTAAATCTTATGTTTCCCCTTCCAGCCTCAGCTACTCCAAATTAATACAATTCTATGAAAGTGCTGTAATACTTAAAATTAATCACAGCATACAACTAGCCACTATTACTTTTGCCCAAATCGAGCATTCCATACATACTATATAACAAGTAGAAGATGTTGCTTCAGCATGCTTTTCCTATGCCTCTGTGAAGAACTGGCAGTGGTGCTGAAAATTACTACTACAAGATGAAAGACCAATGCCCTCCTTTCAATAAAAACCATCATCTGGACTCTAGCCAAGGTTTTAAAACTGACCGAGTGTTATTGGAAACAATAAATCAAAAACTCCACAGGCTGAAAAGCTAGTCCCTTATTTTATTCTTACAAAATGTAGCCACAAAACACTAAAGAAAATTAAGTGAAAGAAAGCATTAATAATTCTGGGTGTTTCATTTCTGGCAATAATCAAATACTGTATGTTACAAGGTGAATTTATTTTACAATCTTCAAGGTTCTGTTTACTTACACCTCTTTCCCTGTCTTCCCCAATTATTACAACTGCTTTATGAAAAATAAACTTGTGCAATTGCCTAAACATCCTATCACTGAACTTAAATAGACATAGACAACTAAAACATTTTAATTCATAAAATGTAGCTAACATATTTGAGTTCGTATTGATTTTATACTCTTTGTTCCTGCACATACATAGATGTGAATTCCTGGAGGTTACAGATAAGTCTTTCTTTCTCTATCCAGGAGCTGAATTGCCAGCTACTGAGAATAACCTATTGCAGTGCCTCAAAGCTCTTTAGGTATCTTGCCTTCTGAAAATATACATGGGTTCATTATCCTTACTCGTTCCTATATTAATGTAAGGTTCCTCATCAGTACCTACTGAATACCCTCCAAGCTGTTATCACAGCAGTTAGGGGGGAAGGGGGCCATGATATCTACAATACACAGGTATGTTTTAAAAGTACATTGTTTACAATACAGTACTTTTCTCCCTGGCTAACCAAATTTCAGAAAAGAAAACCTGAAAAATTTAATTATTCTCTTCTCTTCCCTTCTTCCTCTTCCTCCTTCACTCCATTCCAAAACAACAGGACAGTCAAAACCAGAGATGTGATTACTTTGTATACTTCATGCAATCAGTAAAAAGACCGTCACCGTCTTATTATCAAAACAGAATAGATGATTACAATACGTTTGCATAGAGTAACCACTGCATATGTGATATACATTTGAATCAAATTTCAACCCTGTTACAAAGCCTTTGTCAACAGTGGGCAAGTGGGGAAAAGCGGAAGGGCTCTGTGGAATGAAGAAAATCGCTAACGGGGCTTATCTCGGAAGAGGATTCCTTGGTGAGAGGTGAGCAGAGAGAAACAAAACCTAACCTTGGCGAGGGGGCGCTCGCCCAGGGTGGGGACGAGAGGTCAGAGTGAGTGGGGAGGAGGGGATTAGCGCGGAACCGCCGCGACCCCGGGCTGCCCTCCCACCACTACTCCCCCACCTGCGGCTCGCCCTCCCACCACTATTCCCCAGCCCCGGCGGAGCTGTGCCCTCCCTCCCGGCCCGCCGCCTGCATATCCGTTACCCCGGCGGCAGCGGGGCTGCGGGGGAGGGGAAGGTCAGCGGGGCCCAGAGCGGGGCAGCCGCGGCGGGGATGCCGCAGTGGCTCCCCGCGGCACCAGGTCAAAGTCCGCCCAGGCGCGGGGAGGCAGCAGGAGCGGAAGGCGGCAGCGGAGGTCTGCACTGGCGAGATGGTGGCCCCTCCGAGTCCTCCCACACCCCAGCTGCTGCCGGTACCTCATACTGGATGTACTGCTTCCTCCACTCGGGAGTGATGTGCGCGGAGAGGTGCTCGGCGAACTTCATCCTGCCGTTTCCCCCTCACTCCCACTCCGGTCCAGCAGTTACTGGCGGCGGCGGCGGCGGCAACAGCGACTCCGACTCCTCCCCACATGGGCCCCGGCGCGGCACGGCGCTGCGCTTCTCTCCTCCTCCGCCGCCGCCGAGGTCTCCTCAGAGCCGCCCTCCCGCCATCTTCCTCCTCCTCTCCATAGCCCCGCCCCGTCCCGCCCTCTAGACGTCATCGCCATGGTAACCGCCTACGCCGCACCAACGAAGAGGGAGGGATAGGGGGCGGGGTTTGGGGGGGACATTCCTCGAGGCTCCTCCCCTTCTGGGCCGGACGTGCTGGAGGCACCTCCCCTGACCTCTTCCGTCTGACTCCCGTTGGCCTTACAGCTGCTCTCTACCGCCTGCCTGGAAAGCGGTAGTTTTGTTATTGCAATTAATATTAACACGTAGAAAAAATAATTCACACAAGACGTTTGTATTTGCAAAGAATTGTGCAGTTTTTCATTTTAATATTTGTTCTTCATAAAACTCTTAAGGATGGATCAACATTAATCCAAATTGAGTGAGTAAAACAGGCTAAATAGTTAAGGACCAAATGTATTTAAAAGAACTGTATTTTACATGCTCTAGGTGCTCAATAAATGCTTGTTGAATTTAATTACGTCAGTGCCAAAAATTGCACGCTGCTTATGAATTGCAATGCAATTACCTAGTCCCAGGGCTACCAGAAAGGTCAATAACAACACCTGAACCCAAACCAGTACTGGGGAGGGATGTAGCCAGAGAAGAGTACTACCTGGACCTGTGACTTCCTGGGGATTCCGAGTGAGGTTGAGAGGAAAACCAATATTGGGAGGAAAGAGAATCCCCTAGGGGTACCGTGGCAACCCCACCCCCAGGAAGACCACAAATGAATCGGCATGGAGCCTGAACTGTCCTAAGGAAGCATGGAGAATATAACGCTCACAGAGTTTGGAGCTCCTTTTGAGTGTGGGAGTGCTTGTCCTAGAGGATCTGATTTGGGACAGAAACCAAAGATCTTCCCTGAGTGAAGAAGCCTTGGATAATAACAGCTAGCATTAATGAAGCACTCACTGTGTGCATTCCAAACACTGTTCTAAACCCCTTACATGTACTCTGCTGTCCTTTAATTCCCACGATTTTGATGAGACCCAAAGAGACCAGGGACTACTGTGACCAGGACAGTATTCCAAGATATCAATCTTTGCTGTTGGGTTGTTTGTTTGTTTGTTTGTTTGTTTCTCTCTCCTTTCCCCTTTCCCTTCCTCTTGACTCATGCCAGTAGGCGTTCTGCAATCATTTCCTCTGGAGAGAGATTAGACATGATGGAAAATAGGCATAGGCTATGAGTCTTTCTAACTCTGGTACAAAAGTTTCAACCACTGGTAAAAGGGTAGTCATGCTAAGAAGGAAAAAAAAAAGGAGTGAGGACTCCTCCCACCTCAACATCATACTCCTCTCCCCACCATAACAATCCCCCCCTACTGGAGGTTAACATTCCTAGGAGAAACAGATAGGTAAAGAGAAGACTATGACCCCAGTAAAGAGACAGAACCACAGAGAGAAAATGGCTGCATGATGCACCTAGCAAGATGGAACCAGGAGCAAGTACAAAATAGAATGCTGGGCCCTTAGCCAGGTATGAACTAGAATGCTACATTCTTGGCAGCAACTCCCGTTGACCATGCATCCTGCTCTCAACAGCGCCATACTTTGCTGTCTTCACTGTACATAAGATTCTGGATCCAGGGCCTGACCCAGGAAAGAATGGAAATCCTCAATACTAGCTCTATAACTAACAATTGTTAGTATTTCTCATGCCTGATCCAGAGCTCCGGCACTCAGTTAGATATGAAAATCTTCATTTATTACAGAAGTAGATTTAATGTTTCCTTATTCTGCATTGCTTCAGGTGTTTCACCGCCAGAAACATCAAATTCTTAATATTTATTGAACAGGTACCTTCTGCAGAGCTCTGTGCTAGATTCTATAAATAATAGCCTGAGTAACTTTATTCTGAATCAGAAGGGCCCCTCGCTTACCCTTTCTGTTGTAAATAGGCAAATAAGTCTTCATTTAACAAAACTATACTGAGTACTATGATATGCTGGTCATGCCACTTTGGGAATGAAGGGCAGTTCAAAAATAGGGGCGCCTGGCTGGCTCAGTTGATAGAGCATGCAACTCGATCTTGGGGTCATGAATTCAAGTCTTACAATGGGAATGGAGCCCACTGAAAAACAACAACAAAAAAAAATTAGTAAGACTGTCTTTTTTTTTTTTTTTTTTTTTTTTTTTTTTTTTTTTTTTTCAAGGACATCACAGTCTGGTCAGAGAGAGAAGCAAACAGACCAAGAACTAGACTCTAGTGTGATACATGCTGAATTTGAGGTATGTACAAGGAAACAAACATGCAACTGACTGGGAAGGAAAGGATGACATTCCAGAGAAGGTGCCTTTGAAATATATTCAAACAACTATGACAGAGAGAAAGACACTCCAAAGATCTCAAAGGCAGAAAGCAAAGAGAAGTCAAGATTGTTAAAAAAGGTCAAAAAGTTGTCTGACTGGAATATCCTTTAAGGCAGCTAAATGTCCACTCTTCAGAGAAACTCTCCCTGGTCCCTTCCCTTCTTTCCACAGTCTGGCTCCCACATCGCCCTGGAGCAATCCCCTCACTGTGTAGTCAATGGTAATTTGTGTCAGACTATGAGCTCCTTGAAGACAAATTGTTCATTTCTCTTGTTTTCTCCAGTTTAGCACGGCACCTGGCATTTAAGTATTCCATAAATGTTAGAGGAACAAAGAAAGGAAAGAAGGGAGGTAACAAGGAAGAGAGAGGCAGAAGAGGAATGAAAGGGCAATTTTCATGGAAGGAAGGTGCAGGAAATAAAATTAAGTTGGAACAAGACTGTGAAGGAATACATGATGACCACAGAGGCATGATGTGGGTCTTTGAAGATACTGAAGCAGTTAAGTGACTAGCTGTGGCTTAGGAAAGCAGTAGTAGATTCCTAGTTTAGAACACTAGATCAGGAAATAGACCTAAATCAAAATACCAACTCTGGTATTTTTTTGATGTTTATCTATTTATTTTGAGAGAGAGTCCCAAGCAGGCCCCGTGCTGTCTGCGCAGAGCCCTCACTAACCATGAGATCACGACCTGAGCTGAAACCAAGAGTCAGACACTTAACTGAGACACCCAGACACCCCAACTCTGGCATTTTTAATAGGCGTGACCTTAGGCAAAGTACACTAGCTCCTAATGCCTCAGTTTCTTCATCTCTCAAATGGGGATAATAACACCTCAGGTTATGGGGATCAAATGAGATCTGCATATAAAGGGCTTAGCACAATGACTGGTTGACCATTCGATAATCAGCAGCCCCTAAAAAGCCTCTGTCAGCAGTATGAAGGGTGGACTAGAATGAGGACAAATCAGAGACCAGTATACTAACAAGGACCTATATAGCACTTTCTCTGTGCCAGATGCTGTTTTAAATACTTTACAAATACAAAGTTATTTAGTACTCACAAGGACCCCAGGAGGTAACCACTGTCATTATACTCATTTTACAGATGAGTAAACTGAGACAGAATACTTAAGAATCTTGCTCAGGGGCGTCGAGGTAGCTCAGTCAGTTGGGCTCCAATTCTCGACTTTGGTTCAGGTTTTGATCTCAATGGTTCGTGAGTTCGAGCCCCACGCTGGGGCTTGCTTGGGATTCTCTCTCTCTCTTTCAAAATAAATAAATAAGCATTAAAAAAAAAAAAAAAGAATCTTGCTCAAAATCACCTAGCTAGTAAATGGTAGAGCTGGGTTTGAACCCTGGCAATCCAGCTCCAGAGTCCTTGTTCTTGACCACTACATTATGCTATTGTTGCCCATCATAGTAATGGACAGAAGGAGGTATAACATGGGATTCTAACTCTAATGAGTAAATGGATGATGTTGCCATGAACTGAGATAAGGAATGGAAGTGGTGGGTGCGTTTGGGGGATTCCTGGTTGTGTTAAATAGTTAGGAGTCTATGAGACATGCAGTACTCCAATTGGCAATATGATCTAGGGCTCTGAAAAGAAACAGAAGAGCTGAAGACTAGGGGGAGCCATTCATATTTAAGTGAAAAGTAAGTCCTGATAAATCTGCCTATGGAGGGAGCATACGCTGAAATGGAAAGGGGTCCAAGGGAGCATCCTGATGTTAGTCTGATAAAGAAGATGAAACAAAGCAGGAGGCTGGGGTGTGGCCAGAGTGGGCAGCACCATAATCAAAGAAGCCATAAAGAAGATGAAAGTCTCATAAGGGCAGCAGTGATCAACAATGTCCAATGTTACAGAGAAGTTGAGTAGAATGACTTCTAGGCCAATTGGGTTTAGCAATTAAAGAGTCACTGGTAACCTCAGAAAAAGTGACTTTGATGACATGAAGGGCTGCAGAAGTCTGAGCAGCGAACAGCATTTTGTTTTCATATATCTTAAGTTGCATTTATTCTGTGTACATGTTATAGAAAAACCTGGAGTGAGAACTTAATAGTATACTCAGCAATTTATCTAGAAATTCATAAGTGCTGAATCCGAACACTTTATATTTATCACATCTAATTCTAAGTTTGGGAACAGTTATACTTACCACAAAGTAACTGTTCTAAAACTTAGAATTATGTGTGATAAATATAAAGTCAAACTGTTGCTTGAGCAAAGGAGACTGGTGATCATGCTGAAAGGTAAGGATCTGACCTGAAGAGGGATCAAATCTTGAGCTACACCTCCCATTGAAGCTGAATGAACAAAGGTGTCACAGGAATAAAGACCATGTTCTTAGTACAACCCAGACCCTAAATTATATGTGACCCATTGCACTTTTAAAATGTGATAGACTTTTAGACGTACTGTGGGTTCAATAGATGGACTTCAGATGGTTCATGACCCCCATAAAATCACAAGTAAAACCTGGCGTGTTTTTTGAATATTTTTCTGAAGAAAGGGTCCACATCATTTCCCAAAAGTTTCTACACCTCAAAAATATCTATTTAGAACATGAGTGCCAAAGCACTAAACACCCCTCTCAAGAAACCAAAAACAAAAGCCAAAACAAACAAACAAACAAACAAAAAACTGACATAAAGAATTTACAAATGAAGTTTCAAATGACTCAATTCAG